TACAGGTGATTTGAGACTATTGACCAAATATAAAGTCTTAGAGGTAGCGAAAATGGGTGTACCTCACAGGGCCACAACTAAAGACAAGTCAGAAAAGTTGTTATCTGCTTTTCAATGACCAGTCCCTAAATTTTGTGCATAGTGGTGCCTTGGTGCCATATCAACACATTTATTATTATTATCAATGTTTAAAACACTTGTGCAACTTAATATTTTTGTGGCAGCTGTAATTAATTTTTTCATGACGTTTTTAGATAGTTCAAAGGAACAGCATTTATTTGATTTTTTTAATGACAATGTAAAAGTCTTTGCTGTCACTTTTGATCAATTTGATGCATCCTTGCTATATAAATGTATTAATTTCTTTATAAAAAGTACTGACCTCAAACTCTTTGACGTTTTTGTGTCCATAATGATAAATGCATTACAATTTCATTTGTGAAATTTCATTTGCCATTTAAATACAAAGCTGAGATGGAAACACAAGGTAGAGTTCACCCGAAAAAATAAATTCCGTCTTCATTTACCCTGAAGTCATTCTGAACCTGTTTGATTCTCTTTGTATAATAATCAGTGAAAACGACTTAAACTGCAGTGTCTTTCTCACACGGACCTATTGTACGGCTTTAGAAAACTATATTTTCTGTAAAAATACTGCTTCTGGTCACCATTCACTATATTTTATGCAAAAAAAGCAGCTTGAACATACTGCTAAACTTCTCCTTTTGTGTTTCACGGAAGAGAGAAGTCATACTGTTTTGGTCCAACATGAAGGTGAGTAAATTATGACAATGTTAATTTCTGGGTTAACTGTCCTTTTTTATTTTAGTCTAGCTTTGTGTTTAAACTGCAGATGACATTTCACAGAAGAACATTTAGTCTCAATGTATTTGTCACACAAAATCATAAAATGAAATGTACCTCACAAGTCATCATTCACATCTGTATCACTGAAACCATCAGATTCATGGAAATGCACAGATCTGACCTATTAAGCCGTGAACCAGGCACAAAATTGCATTACATCCACTTAAAGGAAGGATTCAGCGATACTCTTGTGGTCGCTGCAGTAGCTGGGTGATTCACAGCGTTAAGTGGGATACGCGCGGACTGCTTCTTGTAGGCCTGCATATAAAACACCGCACACAATTGATATGCTAATTGGAGGAGCGGTGAGTGGGAGGCCTGAGCAGATAGATGCGACTCTCACCCTGAGGAGAAGTGAGAGAGAAAAGCTGTTAGTCCCATACCTTCTTTTACAGATCCTCTGTAATGCTGCAATTAATAACATCTGACTGCTACTTCCACACCATCTCAGAGCTGATGCACCTTTGAAACACCAGGTGTCTGCCACACAATGGCAGCAGGCTGTCATTTAATTGATGTGTTATTGTAAACATGTCTGGACACTGACTTACAGAGACAGCTGCTGGACTCGGAGTCGCACCCCTAATACTTAGCAGCTGGTGACAGTTTTTGGAGACTGGGGTGCAAGTACCTGTGATGGTTTGTTACAGTATGTAACGGGAAGGGATACTGACAACTTGTGTTACAACTATGAGACCTTTTCTCATAGTTCCTCTCATAGGTCTTTTTTTCTTCTTCCATAACTCCAGTGCTGGGGGGGCAACTAAACTACACTTTTCAGTACAATGACCATAGTTCAGAAACTGTTTTTAAAACTGTGTAGCTATATTTTTTAACATGGTACTTTTTCCAACAGGTGTATTATTATTATTATTATTATTATTATTATTATTATTATGACAATAAGTAACTCCAGTTAATTTTTCCCCCATTTATTGATTGACAGCTCTCCTGTCCGCATGTTGAGAGAAATCAGGAGTCAGATTCAGTTACTGTAGTTCTAGAATAAATGTGAACATGCATTAACTCATCTCACTTGCAAAAAAACAGATTCAGTATTCCTCAAAATGAATAAAAACAGTGAAATGCAACTCAGAATATGACACAAACCTGCAATAATTAAATGTTAAATAACACAAATATCCTTTATGTATTTAAGCAAAAATGTAAGCAAAAAATTACTCTAGATAAACATTTGTGTTTCTTTTTTTTTATTGCTGAAGTGTGTTGAACTTTCTTCTTCTGCGTTCTACTTTACATACGGTAAATTTACTTTTCCTTCAGCCTGAGGCTTATTAATTTCACTTTTGGTGTGAAAGGGCTTTTACGTTTGCCAAAAATATAACTTTTTTATATTAAAAATAAACAAACAAGCCCTGCCAAGATGTAAAAAGTAAAACAAAGGTAACGTAACGCATTACTTTCCATAAAAAGTAAAAGTCATGTAATTGTACTTGTAGTTTTTTAGGGAGTAACCCAATTTTGTAATGCATTACTTTTAAAAGTAACTTTCCCCAACACTGTTTATGACTAATAACTTGAGATTTAAGTGTCATTTGATGTTTTTGCGTGCACACTGATAAATGCTTTGCAATTTCATTTCTGAAATAAATTGTATTTGTGAAATTCCATTTGCTATTTTTGTAGCCCAACTGCTTCTGGTAACCATTCATTTTCTTGTATGCAAAAAGAGCAGCTTGACATATTGCTAAACTTCTACTTTTGTGTTTCACGGAAGAGAGAAAGTCATACTGTTTTGGAGCAACATAAGAGTGAGTAAATGATGACAGAATGTTCATTTCTGGGTTAACTTATCTTTGTGCTTAAACGGCCAATGGGATTTTACAGAAGAACATTTAGTCTCAATGTATTTGTCACACAAAATCGTAAAATGAAATGTACCCCACAAGTTATCATTCACATCTATATCACTGGCGAGAACCCATCAGACTCGTGGAAATGCACAGATCTGACTTATTAAGCTGTGAACTGGGCACAAAATTGCATTACATCCACTCAAAGGAAGGATTCTGAGGTACTCCGACGGTCGCTGCAGTAGCTGGGTGATTCACAGTGTAAAGTGGGATACGCGTGGACTACTTCTTGTAGGCCTGCATATAAAACACTGCACTCAATTGATATGCTAATTGGAGGAGCGGTGAGTGGGAGGCCTGAGCAGATAGATGCGACTCTCACCCTGAGGAGAAGTGAGAGAGAAAAGCTGTTAGTCCCATACCTTCTTTTACAGATCCTCTGTAATGCTGCAATTAATAACATCTGACTGCTACTTCCACACCATCTCAGAGCTGATGCACCTTTGAAACACCAGGTGTCTGCCACACAATGGCAGCAGGCTGTCATTTAATTGATGTGTTATTGTAAACATGTCTGGACACTGACTTACAGAGACAGCTGCTGGACTCGGAGTCGCACCCCTAATACTTAGCAGCTGGTGACAGTTTTTGGAGACTGGGGTGCAAGTACCTGTGATGGTTTGTTACAGTATGTAACGGGAAGGGATACTGACAACTTGTGTTACAACTATGAGACCTTTTCTCATAGTTCCTCTCATAGGTCTTTTTTTCTTCTTCCATAACTCCAGTGCTGGGGGGGCAACTAAACTACACTTTTCAGTACAATGACCATAGTTCAGAAACTGTTTTTAAAACTGTGTAGCTATATTTTTTAACATGGTACTTTTTCCAACAGGTGTATTATTATTATTATTATTATTATTATTATTATTATTATTATTAGATAAGGCAATTAAGCACAGCTTTATTCATTTTGGGGAATCTGTTCAGTCAGATGATTCATGTAAATGAACTGGTTCATGAACAGGTGCATTTTTTAGGGTAACACTTTACAAGGGTTCCACTTGGTAATTATTATTATTATTATTATTATTATTATTATTATTATTATTAGATAAGGCAATTAAGCACAGCTTTATTCATTTTGGGGAATCTGTTCAGTCAGATGATTCATGTAAATGAACTGGTTCATGAACAGGTGCATTTTTTAGGGTAACACTTTACAAGGGTTCCACTTGGTAATATTAGTTAACTATATTAGTTAACATGAACTATTAATGAAAAATACTTCTAAAGCATTTATTAATCTTAGCTGATGTTAATTGCAGTATTTACGAATGCATTATTAAAATCAAAAGTTGTATCATAATATTATTTAATGGACCCGAGTTAACATGAACTAACTAAAAGCAGTTGTATTTTTATTAAGTAACATTAACAAAGATTAATAACTGCTGTAACAAATGTATTTGCTCTTTGTTAATGTTAGTTCATGTATTGGCCAATGTTAACTAATGGAACGTTATTTTAAAGTGCTACCAGATTTGGTTAAATGTAGATTAAACTAAATAATATGATGTTGTTTGGGAAATTACAGCTTCAAAGAAGCTTCCCCAATACCAAAATTACTCGATTTAAAACACTGTTTAGGCCCTGTGGTGTGTTTCCAGCATCCAAAAATTCACTGAAAGTGAAATGCTGCACAAAATGGCAAATTTATTTAAAATAAAGCTGCGAGAATCAGGATTTCGGATAAAAAAGATTTGACATTGGGCGGAGCTACCGCACAACATGAAAAAAATTAAATCCATTCAGCTGACAAATTGTCTTCATTACTGTCACTTTATTACAATTTGTTGTCTCAAAGCATATTGGAACATTGAAAAGACAAGTAAATCTGTGGAAATGAAATTAATCCCAATGTGTTCCTCATGACGTTCTCTGGAGTCGGTCCGTTTCATTCTCTGTATCTTTTCCCCTGTAAGTTCCACACTCCCTGCTTACCAGAGAAATGCCATTCAGATTCAGTCCCGAGGATGGAACAGATCAATAGATCTTACATGTCCCTATCACTTTCCAGCACAGAGCAGTCGTAACTGTGCAGCTTTCAAACACAATCCACATGTTCCATTCCCAGACCTCCTCTGAGGATTAAATGCTAACAGCCCTGCCAAACACACTCCACTCTATGGCAAAACATACATGGAATTCCTCTCACGTGTCTGTGTGCACAAACACATGTTCCTGTAGTTATGCATAAACGTCTGTTGATCAGAACGGCTTTTGAATTTCCTATCACGTGTGTGTTTTCCTGATCAGAACAGGGGTGTGGAGGGACGCTCGGTTGTGGTGCAGGAGCGCAGGCTGCTGGTTGGGGTCCATAACGGCTGGGGTTGGGTATATTAGTTAACTATATTAGTTAACATGAACTATTAATGAAAAATACTTCTAAAGCATTTATTAATCTTAGCTGATGTTAATTGCAGTATTTACGAATGCATTATTAAAATCAAAAGTTGTATCATAATATTATTTAATGGACCCGAGTTAACATGAACTAACTAAAAGCAGTTGTATTTTTATTAAGTAACATTAACAAAGATTAATAACTGCTGTAACAAATGTATTTGCTCTTTGTTAATGTTAGTTCATGTATTGGCCAATGTTAACTAATGGAACGTTATTTTAAAGTGCTACCAGATTTGGTTAAATGTAGATTAAACTAAATAATATGATGTTGTTTGGGAAATTACAGCTTCAAAGAAGCTTCCCCAATACCAAAATTACTCGATTTAAAACACTGTTTAGGCCCTGTGGTGTGTTTCCAGCATCCAAAAATTCACTGAAAGTGAAATGCTGCACAAAATGGCAAATTTATTTAAAATAAAGCTGCGAGAATCAGGATTTCGGATAAAAAAGATTTGACATTGGGCGGAGCTACCGCACAACATGAAAAAAATTAAATCCATTCAGCTGACAAATTGTCTTCATTACTGTCACTTTATTACAATTTGTTGTCTCAAAGCATATTGGAACATTGAAAAGACAAGTAAATCTGTGGAAATGAAATTAATCCCAATGTGTTCCTCATGACGTTCTCTGGAGTCGGTCCGTTTCATTCTCTGTATCTTTTCCCCTGTAAGTTCCACACTCCCTGCTTACCAGAGAAATGCCATTCAGATTCAGTCCCGAGGATGGAACAGATCAATAGATCTTACATGTCCCTATCACTTTCCAGCACAGAGCAGTCGTAACTGTGCAGCTTTCAAACACAATCCACATGTTCCATTCCCAGACCTCCTCTGAGGATTAAATGCTAACAGCCCTGCCAAACACACTCCACTCTATGGCAAAACATACATGGAATTCCTCTCACGTGTCTGTGTGCACAAACACATGTTCCTGTAGTTATGCATAAACGTCTGTTGATCAGAACGGCTTTTGAATTTCCTATCACGTGTGTGTTTTCCTGATCAGAACAGGGGTGTGGAGGGACGCTCGGTTGTGGTGCAGGAGCGCAGGCTGCTGGTTGGGGTCCATAACGGCTGGGGTTGGGTGGAGAAGCCTCATGTGTTGGTGCTGGAACGTGAGGCCGGAGGGAGCGGAGAGGCCAGAGCTCGTGGAGCCAGTGCAGGCAGCAGCTTCAGGCAGACCTCTACGGACAAACTCAGGTGGATACTTGGCCCATCTGGCCTACTAATTTACCTTAATTCTGAGAAATATTGCCATACTTCCATGGACCTCACTTCCAGTTGCATCCAATTTTATTGAAATTATTTTACCAAATGTCCTGGGCCTTTAATTATCTATTTTTCTTTTCAGCTGCATTCAACTTCAATGGTCATAATTCTCATACTACTGACTATAAAGAGATCATTGATTGATCTGTGTCCCCTTGACTGTACTGGATGTTCTGAAAATCTAATACAATTATTTCACACCTGTATTGATTTTTTTTTTTTTTGGAAAAACAAAGACATTTTGAAGAATGTTCATGCTGATCTTGAAATGCAGGTGCTGTCAGGCTCCAAAACAGACATAAATCAACAGAAAAGTGGTTAGCGCATAATATTTTACCACCTTCTAAGTTTTCTAAAGCCATACAATAGCTTTGTTTGAGGAACATATACTGTCACTTTTAATCTATTTAATGCCTTCTTGCTGAGAAGGGAAAAAAAAGTTACATTTCAGTATATTCCACACATTTTATTAAGCTTTTTATTCATAACACTTGAAATATAGTGCACAAGTCATATGGATTACTGTTATGCTTATTCCTTTTTAGAAACATAGCAGCTTTGAGGTTTTTCAAAACCTCTTATTTTGTATTCTAACCAAGAACAAAAGCATTTTTGTTGAGCTCAGAAGTTAAATTTTTGGGTGAATTATTTCTTTAATATAAACACTCTATTGTCTCTCCATGGCCTCCTCCAGTTTAATGCTCCATCTGTCCTGTTTCAGTGACTTTAACTCTCAAAGCCACACTGATTGTCCTCCCTAGTGCTTACCCAGCAGAGATCACCTTGTCCTCTCCTCACCTCGTTGGTTTTTGTCCCAGTTCCATCTCTTTTTCAACACAGTCCTTATCAAATATGGATTTTTAGGGTGATTTGCACACTTTCTCACTGGATGTTAAATATTTTAAAAGCATCTTTTCCAGAAAGTATTAAAAACCGTTCCGCTTCTTAAATGAAGGTTTCTCGTGTCTGCACTCTTCGTTTAATTAAAATGCTGATAAGGTGTCACTGTACAGCACAAATGAGAAATGAGGGTTTGATTGTTGATGTCTGCTTCACTCCATCTGCTGTGAAAAAAATAAGCCCCGCCCCCTCCCGCCACAGGGTCACTGCCATGTGAGATCTTGCAGAACGAGTCACAAGCACCATTCATGTGCGGTGAGAGAAAGAGGTCTATAATTACCCAATGAGAGAAATTAGGTGTCTAAGAGAGTGGAGCATCACATTCTGCCCTTTTAGAAGAGAGAGAAATTGAGTGTAATTATGGAGACGTTAGCACTAAAAACTTTAGCTGCACGTTTTCAACAACACTGCTGTGATGACGGCAGCGAATGTGTCTGAGAGTGTGTGAAAACCTGTCAAGAATGATGCAAACGATCTGATGCCAACCTGCCAGTTCCTAGATGAGATTTTAGCATGAAACCCGTGCCTGGAATTTCAACACACTGTCTGAAAAAAAACTTTTTTGAGTCCTGTTTTAATTTATAACTTTTTTCTTTGTCTTCCTGTATAGAAAAAGTGATGTGAACTTCGTTTTGAAGTTTTAATATTTTCTTGTACTGTGCTGTGCTCATCTAAGATGCTGTGTACTTTTTGTCTGTAGTCTGTACCTGCTTATGTAATAATCTGCAATCATTTTTAAATGCTTTTTTGAGATTCAGAATCGGACTATATGGACTATTATATGATAACTACAGAATGCGTCATAGCAAAAACAAAACAAATAAATGAAATATAAATGCAATTTGACCATGTTAGAACGATAATAGTTTCATTCTAATGTTGCACAAGCATTAAACTCAGGACAGAGAAACAAACTTTTTTTTAGCTTAAAACTGTGTATGGTTCCTGCTAAATTGCTGCTCTTTCTCCTTTAGCGCTGTATGAGTTTGCAAAACCCATTTTTCAAGTTAATGTGGCAGAGCTGTTTTCTTCCTAGACTTTGAATTTCTTTTAATTGCATAAAATACCATTTAAAGTTTTGAGTGGGTATGAATTTTTTTAATGTTTTTGAAACAAGTCTCTCATGCTCACTAAAGCTTAATTTACAATATTTGATCAAAAACTTAAAAACAGTAGTATTGTGAAATATTATTGCAAAATAAGTTTTCTGTTTTCTAGCATAATCATTCTAATATGCTGATTTGGTGCTCAAGAAATATTTCTTCTTATTATTCTTATTGTATGATGAAAACATGTGCTGCTTAATATTTTTGTTGAAACCCTGATAATAAAAGTATTATTTTATATAAAAAAATAAATAAATTGACCCTAACCTTTTGAATGTAATTTTATATATATATATACACACACACATACACGCATCTCTATAAAATGATGTCTTGAAATCCTTTTCCAGTTAACAGCTGGAGAAATCATGGTAATTCATTTTTCAGCATGTGTGGGAACCCTTTATAGGGCTTTTTTCAGCAGTGCACTATGGGATTTATACTGTGCTTTCCAAACTCATAAAACAGTGAACTGAGACACCTGTGTTAATGAATGTCACTTGACTAGTTGTGTTTTTGGGTCAGTGTGGGTGTGTAGGTTCATTACACAAGATTCCATGCCGAGCTGTGATATTTCAGTGATCTCACACTCTTCTTTCGGCCTCCTGTAGTGATGGACTGTCTCTTCGTGGCAGTGTGGAGCTGAAAATGATGAGGGACGTGGCTTTCAGCATTGTCTTCCAGCTCCATTATGTTTTCTCTTGTCCTCTGGCTGGAGATGGGCAGGTGAGTCATATGCTAATGATGCACCTCTCAACATTTCTTTCTTGACTTCACGCAGGTGAACATAATTCGAGGAGTGAATATCTTGTTTAACGTACTTTCACTATCCTTTTTTTTTTTTCAAACTAAACATTTTAAGAATTTTGCTTATGAAACAGTTCCAAAAATAATTTGGGAGGACCAGACTGTTTACTTGTGTTTACCTGCAGTCTGCAGGTGCAGAGTCACTAGCAGCTCTTGAAATGTGTGGCAGGAAGTTTCCCTGGATTGATCAGCCCACTCTGAAATATATAGTGTATTGTTTTTTTGAAACCCCTGGCCTCGACATTGGTATGGACCTCCAGTTCAGCGGAGTCCAGTGGACTTCTGCGACAAAACCCAACTACTGTCCCTCCGAGTCTGCAGGGATGGAGGAGAGTTTGCGTTTTCTGTTTAGAACTCTTTCTAATTGAGAATGGGTCTGAGAGATAACTCTCTCTGTCACACTCTCACTCTCTCTCTCTCTCTCTCTCTCTCTCTCTCTCTCTCTCTCGAGCATTGCCATGTCTCTTATTGCTTCTCCCTGAGGAAATTAAACAGCCATCCTTGACCAGACAGCCTCAGTAAATAAACATATTGGGGGGGAGGGGGAAGAGATTGGGGGGTAGATAAAAGGGAATCTCAGGTTCCAGGCAGCAAGCACAGAAGCAATCCAATCAGGTTTTATTCATCCGCCTGGACCCCCATCCTCTCATTTCTTTGCTCAAGGCTCTTGTTCAATTTTAACACCCTCAGGATTAGCCCCCTCTAATGAAATTACACAAATGTGCCACTTTAGTCTATCTAGATCAGTCTCAGCTCACATGCGGTTGTCTGAAAACCCAATACGTCTCCAGGGTGCTTGTTTTTCTCTGCCAGGCAACACAGAAGGTTTTTAAAACACTCGTCTCTACAGATAAGTCATGAGATATATTCTGCCAATTACACGTGTGGGTTGGAATCGCCATAGTGCTCTATGGGACGGACGCTCTTCATGACCGGCAATATAATTTTCCACCTGTGAGGGTTAAAGAGTCGCCAATTAAAGCCTGTCAGAAAACAAGACGCAGTTCCATAGGCATGTTAAATGCTAAATGCTCGGTATCTGGACTAAAAATGCTCATTTCTAAAATTCTGGCTCGCTTGGAACTGAGAACTTCTCACCATTTCAAATTGTTCACGAAGATGAAATTTTAAAGTAATTATATGCAAGTGCGAAGCTTTTTTGGAAACCGAGAATTTCTCGGGCTGTCGAGGCTCCGAGACAGGCAGAAGTGTTGGACAAGTATCGCCTCACATGATCTGCAGTCTCAAACTGTGCTGAGTTTGAGATTAAAATAGAAAATTTGAGTGTGTGTGTGTGTGTGTGTAAATTCCTAATGACGTTTGAGATGGCAGGTGTGTGAGAGAGAGAGGGAAGACAGACAAGGAGAGACAGAGAGGGATGGAGTAATTGTGTTATAGGTGTATTTATAGAGCGTGTTGAAGGAAGGTGTCTGGAAAGTCATCATAGTGACTAATAAAGGTGGGACGAGACTCGACCTCCTGAAGATAGAATGACCTGCCTTGCAGCGGTGTTAAAGAGAGAGATTTTTCTTTACATTTTAACAGCTAATGGATTGAGAACGCATGCTTTTCTCACCTTTGGTCTGTCCTAGATTGCATGTAATTATTATGCAGCTCTCTTGAATAATTTAATTTAATTTAATGTCCATTTATTTGTTTGGCAACCAACTGTGTAGCAACAAGCAGGATAATGTACTGCCGTCATTGTCCTAATAATTATCATTAGCACTTTGTCTTTAATAATAAAGTGCTAACACTGTCATCATCATTATTTTTATTAATGATAATTTACTATTTTTATGTATTATATACTGTCTAGGACCACATTGAAAAAAAAAACATGTGAAATTTAATTTAAAACTAGAAATAAAGTCTCAGGATTTTTTTACTTTATACAGTTTTTTTCCCCCCTAAATTCCTAAATCATAATTTCAACGACAGAAGCGCACACCAAATACTGAAATTTTGAACTGATAACCTATATAATAAGAAAAAATGCAGTCTCAGACTCATTAATATATATTTTTGATTTATGTATATATACTGTACAGTGTTTCCCCTAGGTTTACGGCTTTGGGGGGGACTCCTTTTTTAATGGTTAAATTACATTTTATTAATCAAAAAGCATGTCTAATTAATTAAAATCATGAAACTTAAACAATTTAACATCAATTTATTAAAAGTTTAACAAATATTATGTTTAGGGCCCTATGAAATGTTTTATTCGTCCAACCTTATGTTTTATTGTAAACAAATTCTGTTTTAGCATGTCTAATTTCAAAGCATAAAACAAGTTTAATTTATTCTTACAATAGCCTTATGATTTTTTTGCTCAGATATTCTGTGTTGTGTATTTACATTTTGTTTTATGGCATAAAACATTAATTTAATCTATCTTTTAAGTAATGAAAATTAAACAAATTAAATTTTTTGGAAAATAAAGGTCATTTAATATTACAATTAAATCATTGAAGAAATATTGAATGCTTATTCCTTAAAAATAAGGTTTTAATAATTTTAGTAGTAGTAGTAGTAGTCCGTTACGTACATTCTACTCAACAACAATAATATATTTCTACCGCAATGCCCTCAAGTTAAACCGAACTTTTATTTTGACGGGTTGCCGTGAATACCTTTACATTTCTGTGTGTGTATGATATGAGGATAGTTTTACTCAAATGAAACGGTCAAATGCTAAAGAAGTGACTCTCAGAGCAGTTCTGGAGATGTTGTTCATGTTTTATGTCTTCATTAGTGAGACGGCAGAGGTTAATATCACCGGAAGCGTCACGAGCGTTTCAGTACGAGTACTACACAAAACCGTGCTTCTGCGCCATTCATTAACACAGAGACACGCAGAATTCATATTTAAATATGAATCGTTTTGCGGCTTAATATTTACAAATACTAGTGGGAGTGGGAGTGGGCTCACTTGTGTGTAAATAATGGCAGGGGAAACACTGCTGTATATAAATAGTTCATAATATATATTACTTATACGGTATATTTAGGTATTTTTATAGCATAAAAGGTAGATTTGTTTAAAGCTTCTAAATAATTATTTAAATAATTATAATTAATTTACATTTGTCCTCAATGAAATTATTGTTTGTTAATGTTAATAACCATAAAACAACAATTTAAAAACATTATAATGCTCTCTCTCCTTCCTCTGTGATCTACAGGTGTGCTACTTTTATCCATGAATGCACTGTGATTCCCTATTAATCGGTTTATAATGGCTCATGATGGCCCTAATGCTGTTTATTTTTTCCTTTCTCCTGGACTCATAAGATGTGCATCCTGCATTTACTGTTTCACCAGTAGGTGGAGCTGTGTAACTCACAAACGGGCTAAGAAAGAGAGCTAAGTGTACAGTGTTGCAATCATACTGTGTTGACCACTATTTACTGCACCTCATGTCTGTCCAATTGCTCTCGTAATACGGTCTGATAGATTTGCTGAATGGAGCAACATTAAGTCGGCAACTAATTAACAAATCCACCACAAAACAGACTGCAGTACCTCGCTTTCAAAGGATGTTTCCTAGAGCTCCAAAACTCTGTCTGACAGGCTCAGTCTTCTTAAGTTTGAGGAATTCTGAAGTGACTGTTTCATGCTTGTGTTTTGGTTCTTTTACTCTTTCCTTCATAGGGGTTCGGTGGACCAGTACTCACATCCTTATCAATATGCTCATGGAGAAAGAGATTAAAAGAGCTGAAAGCAAAAACTAGAGGGAAGACAGTGAGAGAGTCTTTGGCAAGTAGAAAAGGAAAGTTGGAATGTGTATGTGAGAGGGATATAAACTCAAACAGCTCTCTGAACCTCTTCCCAGCTGGATAGGGAGACTGAGGGCCGAAATCAGTTGCTCATTGATATTTCAAAACCCTGAACCTCCCACAGTGTATCTTAACCACAGAATGTGCTGAAAATGCACTGCACCTTGAGCATTTAAATGAAGTTATTGTCATTGTTTTCTTTGCTGAAGATACATGGCAGATTGTGGCATCCTTTGCAAACTGACAGTCAAAACCAGCCTGCATTGTGGGGAATTGCGCTGTGCAAGTAGCATTCAGAATAGATTTTTTGGGGGGCGAGTTTGTGCCGTTTTATCTTTTTTGCATAATTCTTTTACTTAATCAAATGATAAAACAGCATTGACGCTTAGCATGTGCGGATAGACCGCACTATCAGAGGAATCAGTTCATTCTGAGTCAATTCCCACTGAGGAACTTCAGTGCAGTGTACTTTAGATGAGAGAGAGAGAGAGAGAGAGAGAGCGAGAGAGAGAGAGACTGACAGAGGGAGAGAGAATATGAACTGCTCACTTGGCTCACTTGGTCCGATTTGACTCAGCACAAAGAGACTTGTAGTGCTAAATCTTGAGCACAGAGACTCTCAATCATCCAAGCCTCTGACCTAAAAACACCATCTCCATAATATTTCTTTCTGCATTACTCTGATCAACTTTTCTGTGCCTTACTAACATGTATACATAAAATTCCTTTAGAAAAATCCTCATCAACATCATCAGCTGATTGACACAAGAGGTGGTAATTTCATTACAAGCAGACTTGAACTGTTACAATCATGACATTTTTGGCTGATGATTAAATAATTGTCAATAAATTAATTTATTTAGTTTGTTCATGTTTTGACATTTGTTCATTTTAAGTATAAAAGTAATTACAAGTATTTACAATTGTATTATACTTTTTTTATGGAACCCCGTCAGCTGTTATATTATAATATATTATATTGCATTACATTATACTATATATTAACTCAATATTATCCACTAAACTAAGTAGCTTTCAAATATATTTATAAGTGCATAAATTAATAAATGACACATTCATTTAGTTTTACTTTTTTAGTTCATTATATTATATTAAAATAATTTTAATTTGATTTTTAAA